TGATAGATTATATATTATCGGGGGTAGTAGTAAAGGTCAATTCTTGTATGATATCTAGTTTTTTTTGCACAAACCTTAATTCATACATATTTACGTACTTTTTATTTTTTTATGGTGTTTGTTTTATTTCTATAGAAACATGTTGATTTTGAAGTTGTTTAAGAATCTTTACTGTGACAAGCATATTAAGTTTTATTTCTTACCTTGACAAACAATTTTTTTTACATTACTAAAACAAACTCATAGCATCGCATGAGCCTTTTCATCAGTGTTAAATTAAATTTAAATGTGATAGTTATTATTATCATTTTTTTATATTTACAATTTTAAATTTATTTTTTTAAAATTAAAGTATTAAAATGATCCGAACAAATTCAAATAGTAATAATTTAAATTCGAATGATTTAAATTATTTTGATTTTAAAATTCAATAATTTAAGTCTTAAATAATCCATCATTCACATGTCCACCTAAGATCATATGTAATTTTTTTTTTAAAAAAAAATAATTATTATATTATAATTAAATTATAATTACGAAATAATTTTATAATAAACTAGAACATAACTAGATAATTAAACTTAAAAATTTAAGATTTTAAAATCTCATCCTTGCCTTTAAATCAAGAATTCATTAACCCGACCATATGCAATCTAATAAAACATTTCTCAAGAAAATTTGAGACTTTGGTATCAATTTTTAATATATGACTATGGGAATAGGTTGGCAAAAGAGAGAGAAAGTAACAATCAAGAAAAAGATTGCCATGTAGCAGCTAATGATTACTCCAAAGTGGAAGGGTTAAAACAAGTGGCCGGATGGCAGAAGCTGAAAGTAGAAAAGGGACAAAACAACCTTTGCCTTTGCGGCGAAAATGGTCACGGATCTTTTGTTTTCATTTTTTTTTTTTAAAGCTTTATCCTTTTTGCATGTAGCCGACAAGGAGAAATGGAGCAGTTTTTCTTTTGGTAAGGGTCAATTTTGTTGTTGTCCCTGGGCCATGTGCTTAGGCATGTGGCTTCATGGATATTGAAATGATAACCGCGGAAAAAGGAGGTTCCATATGGACCAGAGATTAGGACAGTTTTAGCCTTTTGATCAAAGATTTTGTTCTTTGTTTGTTGTTGTCCCTTGATTGTACGATTTCTTTATAAGGACTTACGACTTTAGAATATTGGTGGATATTATTATTCGACTTCAGCTAAGAAAAAAATTTTATGAAATAATCTTGGGTCCAAATATAAAAATTTTGATAAGAAATTTCACCTAAGAAAAAAAAATCTGCGAGAGTAACATTAAAGCTCCAGGTGATAGTGATATTGTGTTCTAATAAGCATTAGAAAAGATTACTGAATATTGGAAAATGGATAGACTCATTCAGCAAAATGCAGGTACATGACAAGCACAGGGAGAATTTGACAAACAAATAAACATTATTAGATTATATTGAATGAACAAAATGAAACACAGATATTAGATTCCGATCATCTTTGCCAGAACTTAGCATGAGTTAAGCTGTATACATTGAATCAATATACAACAGCTGCATCTAAACGAGGAATTCCCAATTGGCCAAAAAAGAACAAGGATTTCCCAAATAAGCAAATACTGAATTTCTCCTGTTTCTTGGCCGTTGGCTAGATCTCTCTCTTAAGAAACTAAGAGAACTCTGCCTTGAGGAAAAATGGTGGCAAAGCCCAAATCTTTAACTTAATGATATTATACAGAAAAATGTCTAACTACAAAAATCATTGTGTTGGAATGCCTTCCCTTCTTTTATCTGCAGATCCTTTACTGCATCAGAGAGGCTCTTTGAGATCTGCAATGCAATAACAAAATACAATGAAATCAACAATGATACCCAAGCCTGTCCAACATGGTAGAGTGTTGAACTATTAGTTCCAGTGACCAGAGTTCAAATCCTGATAATCTCAAGTACCCAAAACAAGATATTGAAGCCTCTCTACATTTATGATAGAAGATGATATTGTAATTGTAATGTTACCTGGCATAGGTGCCATGAAGCAAAAGCATCTGTTGCGGCATACTGTAGTTGCTACTTGGATAAAGGATACAATTCCCAGTTTCCCAGCCTAATTTTCTTGGGCTTTGGAAGCTGCAATACTCAAACTTTAATAAGATTTCCCTGTGAAAGTGTTCAGCCTTACTGCCCAAGGCAAGCTGAATTAGAAATAACTCAGTGGAAGGTAAATACAAGTAATACTATTTACCAGTTGAGAACAAATATCATATTAGTGCATTAATCACCATACATTCTTTTCAACTAGCAAGCAACGGATCTGCTAAGGTTTATAAGCAACAATAACCAAAGAGGTATGCAAAGGATGAAGACAGCAAACTGGAAATGGCATCTGAACTGGAAAGTGATATGCACTATGGAGTTTTAATCCTACTAACAATTGTCTGGCAAGTAGGAACAAAATCTTTTGGACATGGATGTTATAAGTTGTTAATCTAGAAATTGCCGAAGTTAAATGCACAAATAAAACATCAGATAAAGCAACTACTCAGTAATTTTCTGATATCACTAAATACGGTGCATAGGAACTAAGATGTTACACATGGTTATTACTTATTGCACCACAAAAGCAAAAACTTTTGAAGTTAAACGTGCAGATAAACAAAACCAACTACTTAGTTATTTTCTGAGAATGCCTATATGAATATCCAGAAACAAATAGGAAAATGAGATAATAAGCACAACTATTTTCATAGAAAATCTGAAAGATAAACTGCTTGCTATAAATATTTAGTAAGAGATGAAAGACTGCTTCAGTGTTCTCCAGTCTTTCAATAGATAAATGAGATGTATACCTCTTTGTAAACAAGCATCTCAGTAAGAGCTGCAAGACTCTGCAGCCTCTATTGAGCTTTTGATTCGCTAGATATGATACACCTTCCACAGCTTTAACAGATACATTATAGTCATTGAAGACCTTGACAGCATCGCCACCAATTGCAACTCCAACCAGTTCATTTGTGAGCGTTATTTCAAAATACTAAAAACCAAATATACAATTCCAATATAGAAATTCAGGAATTTAGGTGGCCAATAAACAGACATGGTGTAAAGACATTACTTACTTTTATATATGGAATCCTCAAGAAGAACCTGCAGACTCTTAGGTATTCCAGAATGTATAATATGCATCACATAGCAACACCTATTGTCACAACATATCTGCATGACTGCAGTCTTCCCAGGTAAAATACCTGCAGAGTCAAAATTCCAATTATAAATGATTATCCATACAGTACAATTTAATGCAATTTTTGCTTACCAAACTGAGCCATCCCCTTTTCAAAAAGCTTAAAACTCCAGCTTAACCATAATTTTTTGTTCATAAACCACTAGGCAGCATTGTAATCAAAATCCTATGCAAGTCCTAGGCAGAGCATTGTAAGGCCTAGGTTTGAGTCCTGTTGCTAGCAATCTCTCTTGGTGGGCTACCTGTAAATCTATTGTAAGCCTTCTCCGAGGCCTGCGGTCTGCCCTAGCCCTGGAATGAGGAAACCTCTCCTCACCCTAAATTTTTAAGAATCAAAAGCATGGTAATGAAAATCCTATCTAACGAGATGCAGGAAGTAGTTCTAAAGGTGTGTTTATAAACTTAAATTGAAAAATTAGCAAGATATTCCTGCTATCAAGTCCCACACTCTGCAAAGTGCCATAAAGCTATCCCCATTCCCCTTAACTACAGAAATAGATAGAGAGCCACTGTCTATAGTACCAAACAAATAGTAATCTCCATGAAAGGTCATGAGCACAAAACACGAATTGGATAACTTAGAAGGTGCTGAACCAAATCAGTCACTAGACACAAAAAAATGGATACTTGAACGTGAAATCTGTGCAGTAAAGCCAATTCAAAGTGTTCACATTTCAAAGCTACCTTCTAAACACAATCTGATAATGATATAAATAGGCGACTTCCACCAGAAGGTAGACAAGAAGACAAAAGAATCGAGAACCTAGAATAAAATTTGCTAGTAGACAACCATTTAGGTTCTCATGATATAGCCTTTGAAATAAGAGGAAATGATGATAATGACCAAACTGACTCATGAAACAGAGAATAGAGAGCCTTTAGCTACTGAATCAAAACGAATTATAGCAATGCAGCTCAATGGATGAATCAAAAGGTCTTAATTAAGGCAAGGACATTGCACGACAGCAACAGACACAAGACATAAATTTTTAGTTTGAAGAAACATAGCAGCATAAGAGAACATCTAGAAAGCAAAATAATACTTGCTTAAAAGCGAAGAAATTACCAAAATGCAAACCAAATTCTAACATAAATGCCCTATCTAAAATAAAATCATGTATTTTATGGCAAAACAGATTACAATTTTAATTCTCAATTATTCAAAAGCATTACTTTTTCTTTTTTTCACATTTTACTTACAAAATCAAATAGAAAATAGCAAAACTAATTATCAGAAGGATACCACAGAGAGGCTTCATAGTAACATAACAAAATTTCACTTTTATTGGCTTTTACAAACTTTGAATAAGCCTTGAATAAGCTTTTTCCAAATGTCAATACTGGATATCTAAACCTTGAATAAGCTGCCAAATCAGAATTATAAAAAATTGGGTTTACTAATTTCTTTTATTTAATTCAAAATTATGAAAGAAAGAGAGGAAGAGGGAAGAGAAGGTGGTGAAGAGAAAATGGAACAGGCAATTTGCGGCGGCTTTTAGGGGCTGATGGACTTGCGTTTCTTGACTAGAGAAGATGAAGAAGAAGATTGAAGGGTGGCTTCAATGGCATCCATTGATTTGATAACTTGTTCACTTCAGTGAAACTCTGGTCCCAATCCAAACTGAAACTACTGGTTTCTTTGAAATCCATTTAAGCCACCGAAATGGAAATGAAGGTGGAGGCAACTTAAAACTGGGATGGGTTGAACCAGTTTGGGCCCTAAATGGGCCAATAACAATCACAATCTATTATACAATTAACACCCTTATCCTTCACCATAGCCCTTAGCCCAGGCTATCTAAAGTTTCTTTCCTTTTGTCTTTTTCCTTCTTCTCTTGCAAAGTCGAAACCCACCCAACCTTTTACCTTGTCTTCTGTTTGAAACCCAGCATTTCCTTTTTCTCCTTGTCTATGTGGCGTGGGAAAAGGCGGTAGCTTCGCGAAAACCAGGTTAGTCTTACTTCCTTCCCTTTCTTTGTTGGGCCATAAGCTCTCTTAATACGAAGATAGATTATCCGGAAAACTCTTGGGTATTTGTAATTTAATGAAGGAATGAATCTTGTTGTTAATGGATGAAACTCATTTTGAAGGAATGAATATTATTTTTTTTCCGGAACTCCATCGGTAAATATTAGAACTTTGATGCCTTAAAATGTGGTGATATACATGAAAATTGATTTTATGACACCTTAATTACTAGTGTTATTGCTGCATTGTAAGTAGACAAATTTCTGATGACAAAAGGGATTCTGGATTTTCATCTGGATTTCAATAAACTATTGTTTCTATGTTTTGCTTCTTGGAAAAAGTTTTTTTAAGTTTAGTATTTGGATAAGATCTAATTTAATGGTTAAGCATTGTTAATATTGCATTTTGATTTCGGTGATGATAAAATTACACTTTGGTGAATCAAATTGTGAGTTTGGCTTACTTTCATTGAAAAATTTTAGGTAAATACAAGAGATTTTTGGAATCTATAGCAAAATTTTGATTTTTTTAATTGGATTGAAAAAAAAATCTTAGTAGCTTGTTTCCACTTTCAGGGAGGTTTTTGGTCATTTTCACCATTCACTTCCATTTAACATAAGTCGTCAACAGGATTCAGATACCATAAAGAAAAGTACCAGTAAAAAGGAGGTGTGAAAAATGGCAAGTTATCTGTGGAGAAAATATGCTGACTATGTTTACAGCAAATGGGAAAGAACGTTTCTTTGGGACATGTTAGAGCCTTATCGTAGACCCAAATCTTTTACGCCTCTTGTTACCATTTATATTGCAGCTTTTTACACTGGCGTCATTGGCGCTGCCATCACTGAGCAACTTTATAAGGTATTTCCTTTCTACCATTTTTCTGGATTTCTTGCAGTATTGCAGTAGCTACTTAAACCAAATGGTTTATTTTTCTCTTTCTTGAGTGTTAGAAAGATATGTTTTCTTTTTTGTTTTTGGTGAAAAATTGGATGAGATTAAATGAGTTTACTAAGGCATCAAAAAGTTCGGGATTTGAAGTTCATACAATGTAAACTGGAAATGGTAGTATGAAATTGTAAAATACTCGAGAAGTGTTGAAACTTGGAAGATATGTCTTGAAGTTCTTCTTGAATTACCACTTGCTAAATTCTCAGCTTTAAGCTTCTTTTAGATATTTGGTGATTGTATTCCAGCAAGTTACTGTTAGGCTCGTGACATAGAATCCATTGCCAATTTGAAGTGAACTATTATATGAAATTTCATTCCTTGTGTATATAAAATTTTACCATAACATTTTATGTCAAGTTGTTAGGACTTAGGAGCTTGCACCTATGTTTTCTTCAATATTATAGTAAATATTTTCTTCATATTCTTAACCCCTGTAATCTTTTATATCTAATCAGGATTGTATTACATTTTTATTTTGAGTTCTCATGTGGCTCATACCAGGTGATTGAAGAGAGTAACTAAGTTTTCTTTGAAGAACATTGAATCATTAACGAATCAAGTGCATATAAACCTATATGTTTTGTTTTCGATTTTCTGAACATACCACGTGGTCAATATATTCATCCAATTCATGAATGATGAGTGGAGCAAATGTCTTGTAACTTTATTTCTTCTCAATTTTCTTGTTATCATTTATATCAATTCCAAACAACTAAAAGGAATTAAGTCTGTTTTTCTGTCACTTTTTTTCTCTATAATGAAACTTCATTTCATTTATTTTCAAATTTATGTTGTCAAGCATATTGTAAAAGCTCTTGGAATCCTTCTTGTCATCATTTGCCATTTTGTAACTGCAATCTTTATGTATCTATTAAGAGTTGAAATTTGTGTTATTGATCAGGAAAAGTACTGGGAAGATCACCCTGGGGAAGCAGTGCCGCTCATGAAGCCGAAATTTTATGGTGGCCCCTGGAAGGTGTTCAAAGGTGATGTCCTGCCAGCTAATGAATGAAAGCCAGAAGATCCTGTCGAAGAGCTATATCATTCCTTTTATTTCATTTTCTTTCTCTGCAATGGTTTGAAATTTGGTAGTGTTTAGGATGCATCTGGAAAACAACTACAGTGTTTAGTCTTAATTGTTTCTAGCATCAGATTTACATGGTAGGCTTAGCGTTTCCATGTGGGTACAAGAGACCAATTCTTATAAACAAAATCATATCATCTGTGTTTCATTAATCTAATATCCTTATGATATTCAGGCTTTATTTTCATTGTGTTTATTCATGTTTTATGTCTTCAGTAAAATTGCTTGTTATCAATAATGGTGCATGCTTCCTCTGAAATTTGTAAATGGAGTGAAAAACTGTAATATGCTTGACTTGTGATTTGCGAAGGCTACAATATTAGGTTAACCTTAGAAGTTTTTGATTGCTTGAAAGTGCATGGCAATAGCTGATAAATATAATGGCTATGGTGGTCAGGTACCTGAGAATGGACTTGATCTTGCTCTTTAATATGTCCTCCTCCCCCACCCTCTTTCTCAATATTGCATATTGTATTGTAACTAAGGCATGCTAAATCCCTTGAGTATTTTGTTTTGGTAGCAATGGAATCGGCTTTCTTTTTCTTTAACAAAAGAAATCGTAGTTTGGGAAAAGAGAAAAAAGGTTATAAATATTGAGATTGAAACCCTATATCTATTGGATATTATCATGAATTAATTAAATTAAGTTTCGGATTAGTCGAACCTATTGCTTGTGATATGCAGTGTCAATCCGTCCAAAGTCATTAACTAGATCTCGAACTGACTGCATAACAGCTTCATCTATGGTTAAAATAAACAAGTGTTAACTTCAGGCACAAAATGAAGAATGAAACCTGCCTAGATGCTATACTTGTTACATTAACATGCCTGACCTTAAATTTAACAAATAATGTAGAGCAGGGCATTAGTCTCTAGCTCTCTGAAGAACTAATTACAAAATGAAAACATATGTAACTATTCCAGCAGAGTTGCCACCGTCATCGATTATATAAAGCATTACAAATGCTTATACAAAGCATAAATTATAACTCTGCGTTCACATTTTTAAGTTGCAAGTAGATAACCATTGCTATATCTTTTCTATAGATACCCCAATTTGTCGTTCTATTCAATTTAGTTTTTGTTAATCAAAAAAATAAACAAATAATAAAAATGAAAAATAAACGAAAAAACTCTAGCAAGTTGAGTTTATGCAAGACCCTATATGAGAAGTTTAAATTAAATTTAAGATCTAAAGTTAAAATCAAAAAAGAAATTGAATTTTTTTTTTATTTAGGGTTCTCGAATGTGAAACTTTATAAATACATAGATAAACACCCACAAAAACACATAAAAGATACAAAGATCACACACGAAAAAATTAAGGAAAGAAATAGAGAGAAAGGCATAAAGTAGCCAAAAAATAAGATTTTTTTGAAATTTTTTTTGAAAATTTTGAAATTTCAAATAATAAATTCTTAAGAAATCTCTATGTGATAAATTTTTTTAAATTTGTCCAAAATGTTAGAATCATTTAGATAAAATTTCAATAAAAGTAATTGTATTATTTTTCAAATAAAAAATTTTTTGATTAAAAATATTTGATAATTATCCAATGATTAGATTTTTAGAAATTTCAAATGATAAATTTCTAAGAAATTTTTAGATGAGAAATTTCTTTATATTTGTCCTAAATGGTGGAAGAATTTAAATAAAATTAAAAAAAAAATAATTGTCATATTATTTTCTTTAAAAAAAAAACAAAGAGAAACAAAAAAAATTTTCTAAATAGATCCAAATAGTAAAAAATTTAGAAATTCAAAAAAAAATTTAATTTGACCCAAATGATAGAATAATTAGATATATTTTTAATAATAATAAATAAAATAAAAAAATGATTAAATTTTTTTCGATAACGAAATCTTTTCAAAAAAATAAATAAGATTTTTGAATACTCTTGAGATAAAAAAATATTTTTAAAAATTTTACCAAATTTATGAAAAAATCTTATAAATTATTTTTAATATTTAACATAAAAATTTAAAATCATTATAATCAAAATTTTATGATAAATTTAAAATAAAATGGTATTATTCTTCGAATGAATATGTAAGAATGTCATAACTTTTTTTATATGTAACTGAATTTTTGAATGTTATTTCGATTAATATATTCAAATTTATTTTTTTTGATACCTTTAATTAAGCTGATAAATTTATTACATGATTAATCACATTTAATTAAAAAATTAATGATAATTTTATTTATTAAATTTAATTATAAATTTACATATTTATATGTTATAACATTTTCGATTAAGAGGAAACGACTGATGCTTATCTTGCGAGGGAAAAGAAATTATAGCAATGGTACTTTATGGATGAATCGAAAGGTCTTAATCAAGACAAGGACATCGCAGGACAACGACAAACGCAAGACATTGATATTTGGTTTTCACACGTTCTTTCTAAGGAAACAAGAAAAAGAAAAATATATACGGAATGAATGTAACAAGACAAGGAGGGTAAAGGAAGCAACCTCTTTAGTGAAACTCTGGTCCCAATCCAAACTAAAACTACTGGTTTCCTTGAATTTCCATTTCGAGCTTTGGAATATAAACGAGGATCGAGGGACAGAGGAACTGGGATGGGTTTAATTAGATTGGTTAATTCCTGATGTATCATATAAAATATTAATATTTCATTTATTCATATGATTTTTTACGTAAAAATTTTTATCTCATAATTTTTGTATAAAATATAAAATATAATTTTTATTAAAATTTTAAATCATAATATTTTTATATTTTAAATTATTAAATAATTGAATAAAATTGGGCTTTAAAATAGGCCAATAACATATAAAATCTATTATACATTAAGATTTAACAGCCATAACCTTAGCCCTTAGCCATTATTCGAGGTTTTATAAAGTTTTTTCATTTTTTTTTCTTGTTCTTCTTCCATTGGAAAGTCGAAACCCACCCGACCTTTCTACCCATTTTGTTCTCTTTGAAACCCAGCAATTCATTTTTCTCTTTGTTTGATTTGTGAACGGCGGTAGCTTCGCGAGAACCAGGTTAGTCTTACTTCCTTCCCTTTCTTTGCTTTTCTTTCTTTTTTTTTCCCCATAAGGGCTCGATTAGCATAGACTGATAGACTATATTATGATTTTGTTGGGTCCTAAGCTCTCTTAATTTGAATATTGATTATCCGGAAAACTCTGGGTCATTGTGTAATTTAATGAAGGAATGAATGTTGTTGTTAATGGATGAGTTGTTCATTTGAAAGCTTCAGCTTTCACTTGAGTTCCCACCGTTGTATATATGGTTAGAACTATGTAAATTAGTTCTTGATGTTGGTCTTGCTTTGGGTTTTTGTTTTGCTTCATCAAGCTGAACTCATTTTTGAAGAACTAATCGTCTTAGATGAAAAAAATGGATGATTTTACTTCTTTCAGGATCAATTTGTATTGTTTTTTGCTACTGCCATGGAAAAACCTCAATTTAGAGAATTTTATGTTTTTAACTCTTGGCTTATAAACTCTAGCATTAGATTATTTTCCAAATCCCTATTTGTCATTTATGTTGTTGGACAATAAGTACTCAACCATATTTTTATTTTCTTTGGATACATCATAAGTAAATATCGAATTCGTGTACAAGAAGGTGATCCACAATGAAAACTGACCTGACATCAATTAAGAAAATTGCAAATTGATTCTAGCAAGCACCATTTGCAGTCATGCCAGCTGTTCTACTAAGAATAGCTCCCAACAATGCTTCGGTTTCCAACCCAGCTGAATTGAATACTCTAAACCGCAGATCCCCTAATTTAGCAAGCCCTTCCCTTATGTCTCTAGTGACATGATCATCAGGGTTGTTGGTGTTGCTGCATTCTAATTATTGTTCATATTTAACTGATTATGATGTTGCTTTTAGGCTGTAGCAACTTTTGTAAGAAAAGCAAGTAGCAAAATAAAAAACCAATGGTATGTAGAGGAGCTCTTTCCGTGTCAACAAGTGTTCAATACTTGTGGATAGCACTCTAGGAGTAAAATTTTAAATACACCATAACAGTGTAGAGGAAGTACGCTGTTAAGATCACCTTAACAAATGCTAGTCATGGCAGACTTAAAACGTTAAAACAAAAAGAAAAAAACTATCTACTCTCTGTTATCCATGAAAAAATGTGAAATGCAATACAACAGATTTGGGATATGCTTTCACTTTTCGCTTTCAAGTTATTACTCTTACTTGAAGTTCAAAGTAAATCATTAGCATCTCTTAACCAAAAAAAAAAAATCATTAGTCTCAGAGATTCTAACTTTCGCAATGATCACAACGAGCTTCGAAATGCTAAATACAAATATTAAATTATTTATTGGAGTTTCATGGCTTTCTTATTTCCTTTGTATGCATATTTGCTTTTTCTCTCCTTGATGGTTTTGTAAATGACTGTCACTTATCAGGTTGTTGTTTCAATCATCATGGAGGCCAAGTTCTTTCGCTTGCTTAAAATTGTTGGAGTTGGGTACAAAGCCAGAGCTGAAGCCGAGGGACAACTTTTATTTCTCAAATTGGGATACAGTCATGAGGTTGAACTTACTGTTCCTCCAGCTGTCCGGGTTTTCTGCTTCAAAAACAATGTAGTTTGCTGCACCGGACTTGACAAGCAGAGGGTGCACCAATTTGCTGCTACAGTTAGAAGTTGCAAGCCTCCGGAAGTTTACAAAGGCAAGGGTATAATGTACATTGATGAAGTTATCAAGAAGAAGCAAGGAAAAAAATCAAAATGATGGCTGAAGTGCATGATAATTTTTTTGCAAATATGTATTGGCAAGTTTATGTGATTGGAAATTGCTGTCTAAACAAAATCTTGGTGAATTTTTTTTTCCTTCTCTTCCTTTTAAGGTAATGATAGGCATTTTGAATTTCTTAACTAGTGCAGTAGTTTTTGAGTCAGTAAATCACTTTTTTCTGATGTGTTGGATCCATATCTTCACAATCAAAATTGGATGAGGTGATCTAAAACTGGTGTTAATCACTGTTCTCTAGGGTTTTGATTCTATTTTTCTCAGCATGAGTTCATTAGATTATTATTATTTTTTTTAAATCAATTATAAGGTGTTGGTAAATGGTAATGCAAATGAGAGAGCATTGACTAACAATTGTAAAAGTGAATAACAATAGTATTTATGTTCCACAAGTATGTGGAACATTACAAATGTATTTCAATAAATGTGGTAATGTAGGAATTTTGATTCGCCTTTGCTATACAGAAATTTTTTCAATTTAACAAATAACCTTTGGAAATATTATTATTAACCATCTAATGGTGCAATTTATTCCAACAACTTATGCAAAGATAGTAATGGGTCGGATCAAGATAGATTTTTGTTCGTCTCAAATTCGACCTAATTTTATATTTATACAATCAAAACTTGATTATACTTGAATTTTTTTTTTATACTTGAATTTGACTCAATTCAATTCGAAAATAATAAAATATTATTTTTTAAATGTAAATATATAATTATATAAAATTAAATAATTAATTAAAATTTTTTTATATAATATCATATTTGATCAGATCGAGTTTGCTTAAAATCCAAATTCGATCCGATTTCGATCTTTTCTTAATATTATCATATACAACCTAATCATAAATTTAATTTAAAAAAAAAATTGATCTCATAAAATCAGATCGAAATCCGTCAAAACAAGTTGGGTTGAACTTATTCAATAATAATGCTTCCTTTGGCAATGTGATGATTTTTATATTGTTCATATTAAGATGTTGTTTTATAATTAAATTATTAAAAATTTAATTATAAAATACAATTGTTTGTAAATTTTTAAAGATGCAATTATAAAACAAAATTGTGGGGCGGCAAAAATTCATCCCATTATACTGCCAAAGAGTCCTAAGCTACCAATAGTTTTGGTCAATATTTCATTTAACTTAAAAATTGTCTAAAATAGCTTTACATAAGACATAAATAGTTAAAAGAATATTACAAAAATATAGTAATGAAAATAACTTATAAAAAACAATTATAATATAGCATAATTTTTAGTAATCATTTTCTTTAAACTAATATTTACAATGAAAATAATGAGAAAAATTAATCATTATATATAAATAAAAGTATATGGAGGGAAAATGGGGATATACCCATTACCCCAATATACCCGACCCGGCCTTTCCACTGGCTTACAAAGAAGAGAACAAAAGAAAATGCCCATTGCTTTCCTTCTTCTTCCTCTTCTCGCTTTCCTCTTTAACCCAGCTATAACTCAGACTCTGACTCAGTATATATTTTCGGTCTCTTCCTCTTCTGCTCAAACAAACATTGCCACAGCAATCAGAAACCTTTTTTTGCATGAAACCCAGTTTTTCAGCTTCCATGATTTTGCTTCATCGTCAGTGAACTAAACGGAACCCAAAGTTTAATAAAAAAAAAAAAGATGAGCACAGTGGATAAGATGTTGATAAAAGGAATCCGGAGTTTCGACCCGGAAAACAAAAACGTTATCACTTTCTTTAAACCCTTAACCCTAATCGTTGGACCCAATGGTGCTGGCAAAACCGTAAGTATTCCCCACTCCCTTTTTCTTAATCTATTGCTTCTTTATACGCTTTTCTTTAACGGGTTTCCTTTTTCTTGGGGTTTTTTTGCAGACAATTATAGAGTGCTTGAAGCTTTCTTGCACTGGGGAGTTGCCTCCAAATGCAAGGTCTGGTCATAGTTTCATTCATGACCCCAAGGTACCCTTCTTCTAATTTTTTATTTTTACAGTTTTATTTCGATATAAAAGCAAATGGTATTAATATTTTTGAAGGAGTAATAGTAAATGCATGATTTGGCTTTCATAAGACCAAATACGTTTCATTATATGTTACACTCTAGCCATTTACTCATCTTCAATGGAATATGATTTTTCTTTTTTGCAACTTTTTAGGAAGCAAAACTTAAATAGTGAAAAAAAAGCAAGTAGCAGAAGTAGGAACCAAACACAGTATGAGTAAACTATGTGTTTCGCTTTTATAACTTCAACAATTGAAGGAATTATTATAGGGGCATGTTTACTTTGTTTGTAGGTTGCAGGGGAGACGGAGACAAAGGGGCAAATTAAGCTGCGGTTCAAGACAGCGGCGGGAAAAGATGTGGTATGTATAAGGTCATTCCAATTGACCCAAAAGGCATCAAAGATGGAGTATAAAGCAATCGAGAGTGTGCTTCAAACCATAAATCCTCACACTGGAGAGGTTAAAGAAACATACTTTTGAGTGATCGTACTTCTTTCAAATAAATTTATTTTTATTTTTTATATTATCTTAGTTATTATAGTGAAGATTGTATGTATGTAAGTTCTTGTGTGAATCATACAACTAAATGCCCTTATGTTTTTTATGTAATATGTCAATAAGGAGCACTGTTACAGACATACTAAAACATTGTCATGAATATAATGGTAATTATACTCAAATTTCATGTGTTCTAAATGAGCTTTTATAGCATTGACTCTTCAAGCCCTTGTTATAGATTATTGTTCTTTGGGAAATTGACAAGTGAGCTCCAACCTAATTGGTTCTTTAAATTTTTAAACGAGGACACCTTTTGTGTTGGTATGTGAAAGCAGGTGTCTATATGCATGATCAAAAGAATAAACTGTTTGATTACTTATCAAATATCGATATCAGGGATGAGTTTAAATGGGCTACTGATAATTATGTAACTGTCATGAATAAAGTCAAAAGGCATTAGTGGATATATTATTTTTTCAGTGCGAAGTTCAGTCATTATTTGGAAATTATTTGTTGTGTATTATTATTGAAGGACTAGGGATTGCATGGTTCCATTAACCTTCAGTGAGTTATGTGGTTGAATAAATGAATAAATAATTTTGGCCCTGGGCTGGAGATATTCGTGGTTGGTTTAGACCAAAGATCAAAGTAATATTTTGGTGGTTACTGCATGAGGTTTCCCTTTTGAGTTAGTTAGCCTTTATCCATAGTGTCGAGCAAGCTGGTGTTGCTTAGATAGTCTCCTCAAGAATTGTAGGAATTGTAGTGTGATTTTATTTTGCTGCATTAGTCAAGCTCCTTTTAGGACCTGCATTATTTTGTACAAATCCACCAACCGTACTTTTAATTTTTCTTGTTTGTTTGTGAACTGCAGAAAGTTTGCCTCAGCTATAGATGTGCTGACATGGACCGAGAAATACCAGCTTTGATGGGAGTCTCAAAAGCTATTCTGGAAAATGTGATATTTGTACACCAAGATGAGGCCAATTGGCCTTTACAAGATCCTTCGACTTTAAAAAAGAAGTTTGATGATATCTTCTCTGCTACCAGGTATGCTGTTTGTTTTTTTTCCTTAAAATCATTTCCTTCTCAATATTGAGATTAGTTGTGTACTACCTGTTACCTGTTGCCTTTACAACTATGTGTTTTATCAATGTTTTTGGATTTTTTTATCATGTATAGTGCACAGGAACATCCTTCTGTCCTCTTGTCCTTGTATTCACAATTTTTTATATCAAGTTTCATGCCTAGAATCGAAGATTTGCTTTCTCTCATCTCTTGAACTCTCTTGATATATTTGTGTTCTCTATAAAGTAATATGTTATGAGTGATTCACGTCTCTTTATAATGTTTGTCACTATGCACATTGCTGCTTTATGATTTGATTGTATTGCTGAGTTGGCAACAATATGTGTTCGATGTCTGTTGTAAAACCTGTACTTTTGTGTTTGGATAACTGCTGAAATATGCCATTTAGGACTTTAATACAAGACCTATTTTATTTGTGAAACATTTTGATAACACCAATTTGGGCCAAGATTCTTTGATTTGTATTTTTTTTTTTGGGGGGGGGGGGGTGTTGAAAGGCAGGGTTGGGCTAGGTGGGAGTTGTTTGTGCTTCTTTTACCCGAGTTCCTTTTTGAAAAGCATAAAATTTAGATTATTCTTTCATCTTGTTGTTTAGATTCCACTTGTAGCACAACCAGCACTGCATCTGTTGGCTGGTTGGAATATTTAAATTTTCAGAAAAACTTCCCTTTTTCCAGAGAAGTCTTTCTGTGCATGGTCTCTAAATTGGTGTTATATACTTATTTGAAAAGCCTTCTTGCTTTATTTAGTTGAAAATTACAGTATCTATAATAGCATTCACCATACCAGAGAAAGGTTAGACTTGAATTATATGGAAATCAGCTCATTTTATGATACATTCAAGCTCCAGAATGGTTCTGAGAAAATCTTGCTAAGGAAGAGTGACAGAATTTTTCATGAGAAAGAACATTTAACAACTTAATACTTTTCTCCTTGAGTTCTTTTTTGCAAGTTGGGAATTTTCGTAAAAAATTCTAAGGCATTAATACCAATCTTGGTAGAATTGAATCGTGATTTCATATTTATTTACATTTTTGTGTTGTGAGATAGAGTGTTTATATATTAGAAACTGGAAATCTGGTTATCATTTAATGTCTGTTGCACTTGGTTGCGTTAATAAAGCACGGTGGATTTCCTTGCATGGTTTTTGTTTGCATATTGAATGTCCCTAAAGTACATGTATAATCCCTCGCTGCAATATCTATTTTGCTTACTTATCCACTAAAAATTGTCTAATTAACCCATCTTCATTCTTTTAGGATATTCTTTTTGCTAATGGCTGCCTGTAAACAGATATACAAAAGCCTTGGAGGTCATAAAAAAGCTTCACAAAGATCAAGCTCAAGAGATAAAGGCTTATAAGCTAAAACTGGCGCACTTGCAGACCTTGAAAGATGCTGCATATAAGGTGGATATTATTTTTCTTTTCTTTTTCATTTATTTAATCCTATTTCTTCTTCCTCCCGTTCAATATTTGTTTATAATTTCTGCTCAGGTAGTGTTGTTCCTTTCCCATTTTAACTTGTAATCATAAGTTCTGGAGGCCTACATCATGGCATAAGCCACATAACATACTCATATTGTTATCTATCATTCAACAAGTGATTGATTGTGTTTTACAAGTGTCTAATGATACTGGTCATTTTTCTTGACAAAAAGTTTATGGGTGGGAAGGATTCAATTTTACTTTAGTGAAAAACACAAAGGATCTTTGTCCTTAAGTGATTTAACGTACATGTTGGCATCATGATAAATCATCTTTTGTCTAAACTTATAAGGAAATTCTGGAAGAGGGAGAAATTGAGAAGGAAACTGATTGAAGACCATCTCAGTGCATTGTTAGGCTTTGATTTACAAATAAGGTTCTCTGTTTTTCATGTTTAGATTAGGGTTTTATGGGTTGCATACATGAATTCTTTAGTTTGCATATTATTTATTATTCAGATTTTGGATTGTTTGAAATTGAAAGAGGATTTTATCTGTAACTGTTATCTTTGTCCTTCTATTCTTCCTTATTCCTGCTGTATCTTTTCTGTTCCATCTGTTTGTCTCTCCCTTTCTATCTCTTCTCCTTTCTCTTGCTACTTTCTTTTCTCTCTCTCTCCTTCTAGAAGCTAGAAGATTGATGTAGGTATATAAGGAAATTGAATCTGATATGCATGTTGTGTCATTTTCATTTTAAATTAGTTTCAAAATTAACTTGGAATTTTAAATCTATTTAATTTGTGCAGTATTATGTTCCTTTTACCTCTAGCATGATTGACATTATATACTGTCATTGAAACTTTTTATATGCTAAACAAGGTTTCACAGTAGGGATGTGATAGAGGTAACAATTTTGAGCAAATTACAATCATTGAAAAATAATTTCCTCTGTTTATCCTTATGTTTCTTCTTGTTTCATCTAATCCTAGCTAAAGACTTTGACCTTGATTGGGTATTTAATTAATTTTTTTGGTAGCATTTTTGTTATAACTGAAGAAAACAAGGTTTAAATGAAGTAAAATCATTCAAGATTAATTTCCTCTGTTTATCTCATGTTTCTCCTCATTTCATCTAATCCTAGTTAAAGTGTTTAAAGTTTTCACCTTTCTGTTTCTTTTAGATTTTTGTTTCTTTGCTACTTTATGCTTATCCACAATTTTTTTTTACATCCTTTAATAATCTGACCTTGCTGATTCCACTAGTTACATCAATTTCGTATGAGAGCAAGTTTTATCCTTGGAACTGTTGACTATGTTGGAGTTTGGTATAACTAGCTCTATCCTTGGGTGTAGAGACTTCTAGAGATCATTACTGATGGTAACATGAGTGGGAAAATCGTTGTAATGAAGTTTTGTATGTTATTATACAAGGAAGAATTATTTTGATGGGGCATTATCATTAACTTATACTTTGCTAGTCTCCCCTTTTTATTTTTGTTTTGAAAAAAACCATATGGGAGAAGACGCACACTATTTGTTTTATTTTTGTACTTTATTAGAGCCATTGGCTGTAGTGATAGTCTAGACTTTAGCTTTATGTGTGTATATCTTAACACATATTGTAGGGTAACATCCTTAAGCTCTTGGCAACTTATATTGCTAGTGATGCTTGTTTTCTTAAATTTTATGTTTTTTCTAAATTCTCCCAATACTTTGTCATATGTATTTGTAGATCGGCATGCATGCATTGTGTCCATTCTCTTGAAGGCTAGAATGAATCAAAATTAAGAAATCATTCAATTGGCTTTACTATGTTTACTATGGTTTAATTGATGGTTTAGTTTCTTGGTTTTTGCCTTAATCTTGTTCATTTCTTGTTTGATAATTTTTTGATGCTGCAACTTCATGCATTATTGCCTATTTGTTTTATCATTCTAGTTTCTTTCTCTTTGTTTTAGCTGTGATGACACTACTTCTGTCCTGGTGGGACTCCAGAAACATACATTTATATTACACTTTCTCCTTGTGTTTCTAAAGCCTAGATTTTCCTTCTTAAATGTGAAGAAAGGGACTATATGTGGAAGTTGATGAGTCTTTTTGAAGTTGGCAAAGTTAGCAAAGTCAAGGGGAAAAGTAGGTATTGGAACTTTTGGAGCCAATCTGATATTTGATATGTTTACGGGGAGCTCATCCATATGTTTACAGTAGGGTTTGGGTTTGTTATTACCCTAATATTCAACATCCTATGACATCACCTTAAAGGATCTTTCTTGATATGGTTCTTCATACAGCTTCGAGAAAGCATTGCTCAAGATCAAGAAAAAACAGAATCTTTGAAAAGCCAAATACAGGAATTGGGAAAAAGCATTGATGACCTGGATGCTAAGATTCATAATGCTGAAGCAACATTGAAAGATCTGCGAAAGATAGAGGACCAGAGATCAACAAAGACTGCTGAAAGGAGCACTTTGTTCAAGGAGCAGCAGAGACAGTATGCAGCTCTTGCTGAGGAAAATGAAGGTTTGTCAATTCAACATCAGAAGCAGGATTCTTTCGTAGGTTTTTTTTTTTTTACTTTGTGGGAGCTATGTAAATCCTGCATTTATGGAATCATTCCAAATTTTTATGTTTAAGCAGCACATATTTTCTTGTTTCATATTGTTAGATTCTGATGAAGAATTGTTGGAATGGAAAACCAAGTTTGACGAAAGGATTATGTTATTGGATAATAAAATTCAGAAATTGGAGAGTAACCAGCAGGACTTGCAAAATGAGAGTTCTGCTTATAGGAGTAAATTAGATGCATATATTGTGGAGATTGGCAAGCTTCAAAGGGATGCGGAGGTATTACAAAAAGAACAGGACATCTTTTAAAAGTTGTAATCATAAAACCTTCCCATTGTCTGAATTTTATTCTGGTTAACTCTTTTACCTTATGTTTCAGTATCTTGTGGTGTCAAAAAAAGAAAGAGATTCTGCCATTCAACAATTATATGCACGGCTCAATTTAGGTTCTATCCCAAATAGCCCCTTTAGCGATGAAGTTGCTCTGAATCTCACAAATCAAATAGAAGAGAGGTTGATGGAGCTTGATAAAGATTTGGACGAGAAAAAGGTGATTTTTGTGTTTTTATGAATCAATGCATCTTCCCTCTGTGTAGATGTGTGCGGTTGTTATTGTTTTCTATTATTGGAGATCAAATTTTGTATAATGCACAATATAATATTTATTGATGCACCTTAGAAATTGATATTATCCTTGCCACGAGAATTACTATGGCTTCATGTTAAATGGTCTTATGCCAAGTGTCCCTTGCTGTAATTTCAGAAATCAAATGAAATGAGGCTAAAGACTGCATGGGATTGCTACATGGGTGCAAATGACCGTTGGAACAGTAGTGAGGCTCAAAAGAAGGCTAAATTAGAAGTCAAGGTCTGTATCTGAGGATGAAGGTTTAGTAGCTTTCCAACTTCCCTTATTCTCATATTTTAATGGGCATTTGCATGTGATACAATTCAGACTTCTATTTTGAAACGTTTGGAAGAGAAGAAAATTGATCGTGATTCACTTGAACTTCAAATTTCGGATGTCAATCTTTCTCTCATTGATGAAAGAGAAAAGAATATGGTGAGTATAGTATTGCTTGGGATGCAAAAATCTCATCTTAATGAATATTGATTAGCTATATGCCTATATGTGAAGTAACGATTCTCTTAAATTTGCTGTTGGCAGCAAATTGAGATGGACAGAAAGAAAAAGCAATTTGATGAGCAAAGCTTTGATGCAAACATACAACAAAAGCAGCATGAGGTATACGCCATAGATCAAAAGATTAAGGTCCTTAGTCTAGAGAGAGACATCATTGCTGGTGATGCTGAGGAGAGAATGATGCTATCTATAAAAAAGAGAGAGTTGGAGTACAAGAAGAAACAACACAAAAGGATGTAAATCTGTTTTACCTTTTATCAGCCTCAGCCTAACTCTAATTTGTTTTTGGTCTATTCCATTTTCATGTTGAAGCTTATGGCTTTATTTTTGTTTACTTTTTCCAGAATTGATGAGTACAAGGACAGGATTAGAGGAGTACTAAAAGGGAGGGTTCCTCCTGACAAAGATGTGAAAAGGGAAATTACCCAAGCTTTAAGGTTGGTTGAACAAAAATACGTCTTCAATCTGTAACATCCTATTTTGAATGAAAATTTTTTTCCTGAGGAGGGTGTAGGTATTAGTGATGACAGAGAGATGGTGATAGAGCTCTCCCTAATGAGATCAGTTGGTATCACCTTGGTAACTCTACGTGTTAGTGATCTTACATCACCAAGCTTAATAATATCACCCTTCAATGGGATGATCATCTCTGCTTCCATTATTTCAATGATGTTGGATCATCCACTTGATGGTAATTCTTAGACAGAAGTTCCCTAGGATCCTAAAACATATGCATATATAATGTTCACTATAAAAAATGAATATATAGTAATCCTTTTTGAGTGAAATTTTGACTTGAAAAGCAATTGAAATGAGTTAAGAGCAATTTTAAATTTAATATCAAATACCTTAAGGTAAGAATTTTCTGAAAATTTCATGCAGTCAGACATGGACATATTACTGAACAAAGGTATGCATAAAAATACACTATGAATACGTTAATATGGAAATACTTGTATTCATGTAAATATATAATGAGATCACAAGGTTATATACAAATATATGCATATATACAGTATACCATTTAATTAAGTTTTGTTATTAAAAATGTGGAAGCTTTTTTTTTTTTTTACCAAAACATTCTAATCTTAAAATTTTGTACAAAATGAGTTGCTATAACACCAACAGTGATCTTATTAATGATGTATGATCACTGTAGATCATGAATACTCCCCCATAACATGGGTTAATAGAATACTAGTGCCTCTTTGATGTAACACTGGCCTTGCAAGTTTAATTATCTAATACATGACAACAAGAAGTATGAAGTGAGTTGTTAAAAATGTATTCAGTGTTTTTATTAATAAAAAATTATAGAATTTGAATTTTTTAAAATTTTGGTTTCTTAATAAAACTGCTGAATTATTCAGCAACATAAGGTATTTAGTAAACATTTTTGGTCAAAATGGTTTTAAGTTTTAATTGTTTGAGCACCCTTATGTTTTAATTAAAAATTTTTCTTCTATGCCTTCTTTCAACTCTAAGTTGACAGAGAATTTCATTTTTATCATCTCTTTAAAAAGGGGAAAAAACGGATCAAAATCTATTTACTATAATTTTCAATAGTATACCAAACAATTTTTACATAATGAATTTCGTGGCATAAAACTGATTACTAAAATTTCATCACATAAACTTTTTAATTTATCAAACAACATCCAACTCTTTCATTTTCAATTCACTTGTCAAACTATCTTTTCGATATTTGGGTTTGACTATGCCCTGTGAAGTTAGTTTAGTGGATATATTTCTTGATTCTCTTTGAATATGCCATTTTCCTTATTTTTGTTATTAAATTTGTTCCGAAATGCGCATGTATGTATTCTTATTTGTAAATTATGTTGGAATGATAAGCATTGGCCAAACAACACTCAATAGCTTTGCAAGTATCTGTCAGAAAAAAACTAGTCAATTATAAATTTTACAGCTTTGCAAGTTTACACTTCTGTCGAAACAATTTAGTCAATTCTAAATTTTACTTGATGAATTCATTGGAAAAATGGTAATGTATTAAAAAGAAAACTGAAAATTGTTCATTAATAGCTTGCTCTTTTGAAATTGCTGTATGCACTTTCTATTGGTGATGGACTTGACAGTCAATGTGAATACATACAAACTTAATTAGCAGCCCAGATCTTTCCCTTTTTGAGGTTATATTTGTCTCTTCCTTTCCACCAAGTTTTATGCTCTGTTAGTAATGTTGTGTGTTATACCACAATCTAGTATTTTGTAGGTTACATTTCCATATACTGTTACTTGCTTCCACCTCATGTGTTATACATGGCTGACATTATTATCATCTAATAGTTTGGTTATTTATAATATGATATCACATTAACTTTTTTGCACATGGTTAGACGTTTGTGAACCTAAGCATGCATTACATCTGCAGAACTGCAGTAAAATGCTAGGTACTGGTTCAGGAGGACAGCTATCTATGAATTGAAGGAAATGTATTTATAATATCATCATGTAGTGAAAATTTGCTAATATCTTTGATTTGTGATCATTGATGTTCCTTCAGGAAATTTGTCATCAATATCTTCTGAAATTATTCTAATTAGTTTCTTATTTTTGGTTTATGTTGACATCCATTAGCAGTTTTCAATACTTCAAATTCCCCTTATATGATTTATCCTTTGGCATCATGTTTATGGGTGCTTGTAACTTTGATTTTTCTTTTTCATACTTTTGTATACTTATATGTGATTTTGTCTTCAATTTGTGCTATTCCTACTGCAGGGCTACTCAAATGGAGTATGATGAATTAAGCACGAAATCCAGTGAAGCCGAGAAGGAAGTAAATATGTTGCAGATGAAAATAGATGAAATTAATAATAACCTATCCAAACATCAGAAAGATATGGACTGTAAGTAGCACTCATGGCTTTTATTTTCCTAATGATACCAATGTTCTTGTAATTTTGTTCTATAAGATTGAAGATTCTGATATCTAGGCTTACTACACCGGAGATTTAACATCCTTGTTAAATCTAATAGTTAATTAAAGGTTTAAATGAATTGAGATTTGATCTCAATGCATAGCTGGAATTGAAGGATAAGGTTACTGGTTAGCAGCAAAATGTGATGTAGCAAGTTTACGACTATCACTCCTATGGTATGATCAGTATACCTATGCATTTTAGCAGTTGAGAGTGAAGAACGAGGAAGAAATACTCAATCACAAGTTTTGCAATAATACTCATTAATTAAGATCCTTGGGATAATGCTAAGCAAAATCAATTTTCTCCTACTTGGACTTGAATTCTTAAAATTGTTACACTTAGGAGGAACATTTAACTTCTATAAGCTATAGGCCATACAAAAAGAACAAACAAATTCACTAAAAACAAAATAAGCCCAAGGGAAATTAATGGAAAATTGAAAATGTACCAAAACTTAATTAACTTGTTAAATATTGTACCTGTGATGTACTAACTACAAGATACCTTCCCTAGACCAGAAGGACCTTCTACTGATAAAGAGTCCATGTACCTTCCCTAGACCAGAAGGACCTTCTACTGATAAAGAGTCCATGACCGTAGCCTTTGGCTTCAAAAAGGCATAAGATTTATATAACAAGCTATCAATTTGACATCTCAAGGTTGTCTACTCATATTACTTTTTCTTGTGTTTTCTCATCATTTAAATTCAGCAAGGAAGCGATTTCTTGAAACCAGACTAAATTCTTTGGATCAACAATCTTTTACCATCGATTTCTATCCCAAAGTCTTGGAGACTGCTAAGGAGAAAAAGGATATCCATAAAAGGTTCTTGCTCTTAACTTTAGGAACAATGTTCTGTTAGGTATGAATATATTCATGTCATTTTCATTTTTGTGGACATGCTAGTAATATATCTGGATCATTGCATGCAGCAAATACAACATTGCTGATGGCATGAGGCAAATGTTTGATCCATTTGAAAGAGTTGCCCGTGCTCATCATGTTTGCCCATGCTGTGAGCGACCTTTTTCTGCTGAAGAGGAAGATGAATTTGTTAAGAAGGTTGTGATATTTATCATATATAGGTTTACCAGATGCTTATCATTAATCTTTTTTATATTTATTGATGAACTTGCATACCTTGGGGGTGGGGGGGATCTGAACATTTTACTTCCAAAGCCTTAGGCCTCTCTGACCACTTAATATTTTTCTGTATACTATTAGGGACATTCCCTGATATTTAAATTTTAACTGGATGTCTATTGATTCAGTCAGCATAAAGTCCCTTAATTTTTTTCTGAATTCTGTTGTATTTTCTTGTAAATTACAGCAAAGAGTCAAGGCAGCAAGTTCAGCTGAACATATGAAAGTGTTGGCAGTGGAATCATCAAATGCTGAGTCTCACTTTCAGCAGTTGGACAAGCTTCGTATGGTTTATGAGGAATATGTTAAAACTGGAAACGAGACAATTCCTCTTGCTAAGAAAACTTTGCATGAACTTACAGAAGAGCTCAATCAAAAGTCTCAAGCCCATTATGATGTATGTATCTGTTTCAGTAGACATGACTTTAGATGTGTCACGTGAGTAATGCTATGATTTATTGTTAAAGATAAAAAAAAAAAAAAATCACATTATTGGTGGCATTGTTTCGAATGGTTCTATATCAACATTGTCTGTTTAGCTAGGGTGAAGTAGTTTTACATATGTGGTTAATGCTGATATGGCATATAGGTTTTGAACTTCTATATCAAATATGTTTCAAGCTGGAAAAAAGGAGAACATAAAACGCCTTAGTATCTAATTACCTATTTTAAATGGCTGTAGCAACGTGATTAGTAATTGCTTATTTGTAAGCATATGATCAGTGATCTTACTAGTGCAACTTAACTTCAAGTCTTTCTGAGGTCACTTTACTGTATTTCTGCTTCATGATAAATAAATTACTGGAAAATGATTCTTATTGGATTGGAAAATCTACTTTCAATCATTAAAAATAACTTGCTACCTTAAATGAAGACAATTCTTCAGTTTCTGTTAGTCTTTGTTATCATTAGAAGTTGCTAATTCACTTAGCGATACTCTTAAGGAGAACAAGATGGGATGAGATGATGTAAGTCAAAACTATGAAAGTTGGTATGATTGCCTGCAAAGGAAATATATTTTTCATCCCAGCCAAAAGTAGTTCAGATGAGTCTATTAAATTGACCTTTCAATATAGAAGCATATTCTTCTTTCATTTTCACCATTTTTTTTTCTTTTCTATGTTCCCTAAATTTCAGTATTTATGTGGAACTTGTCGATGCCTAGTGCCAAAGAAGCTATTAATGAATTTTGATTTCTTGGCTCTTCATTCAAAAATAATTACTGTTTAGGTATTATAGTATAGCTTAGAAAAACAATAAGAACCTTTCATCATGATAATTTAGTTTTGGCAATGCATTATTTTTATCATTGCTGTTATTATTACAGGTGTTAGGTGTTTTAGCCCAAATAAAGACTGATAAGGATTCCATTGAGACCTTGGTGGAACCTGTTGAAACTGCTGACAGGCTCTTCCAAGAAATTCAGGGTTTGCAAGCAGAAGTTGAAGGTTTGGAATATAAGTTTGATATTAGAGGGCAAGGTACTAGAACTGTGGAAGAGATCCAATTGGAGCTAAACAGTTTGCAAAACACAAGGTAACTATTTTTTTTTCTAACCCAAATATTGGGTGTTGATAACCTTCTAATCATCCTTTTTAGCTTCAAAACTTTTTCTAGAGGCAATATATATTGATTGAAGTGTTATTGGTATTTAGTAATTCTTCTTCTCTTTGCAACCAGGGACGTTTTACATAATGAAGTGGAGAATTTAAGGGTGGAACAGAGGTACATGGAAAAGGACTTGTCAAGCATTCAATTGCGGTGGCATGGTATAAGGGAGAAAAAAATTGAGGTAGCCAACACATTGCGTGAGTTTAAAAAGGTGGAAGAAGAGTTAGAGCACTTAGCTGAGGAGAAACGTCAACTTGATCTTGAGGAGAAGGTTGATAATCTCATAAGATAATTTCTGATGTTACTTAACTTGGAATTAGTATCTTGTGCTAGTATATGTATGCTTTCTCTCATAAGATATTGGCTTAGTGTTGCAGCAATATATCAGGGCATATAGGTATAACAAGTTTTCTGTCTGATTGCTATTTTCCTATTTTGAGCATTGATGAGATCATTTTCACTAGAAAACTCCAAATCCTATCTTGATCGTTCTTAGAATATCTTGTTACTAATGAATTTAGCTCATAAGTATGTTAACTGACTGGCTTCACATGCCAACATGTAAGGTAACTTTGAATCTATAGCTTCAGTTAAAATCTCAAAATTTTAAATATGTTGACAACTTGAAATCATGCCATCAACGAATATAAAGACAACTCTATTTGGAATCTATAGGTTCATTTAAATTCCATTACTGTAGATATTTTGGTTGTATTTCTTGGCCTTCATAACTGAAGCTCTAGGAACTTTGGAACAAGCCATTATGTCAAGGTTAGAAGATCATACTGCAATGTGTGCATTTGGCCTCTTGAATCAAGTTGCAATAATTTGGCTTGGCTGATACCATGCTAATGTAGGTTACTTTTTGGACAGCTGTGTGAGCTTATTTCTGTAGCTAACCTTTAGGCTGTTTAGAGATTTGGGTTCAGTAAGGGTGCTCAAGTTTTGTCACTGCTTACTTGAAAGTAAATGTTCACTATGGAAAGAAGAATTGAGGATAATTTTTAGGAAAAGTTGCAAGCGTTCTTCTACATATCCTGCTGGCTAATCTTCATTTGCTTCATTCTAGTCTCACACTTAGGTGAGCTATTGGGTCTTCTGCATGAAATCAAGGTAGGTGGGATGAGCAAGAAATAGAGTGGATTCAAGCTTTGTCTCTAAAACTATTAGCCATGATACTTCTTAATGTGATAATTGCTCCCATAAAATATAAATCCTGTACTTTTTAGTTGCTAACAGCATTTATATTCAAACTTTCTTCCTTTTTTTTAATAACTTTGATTATGTAATCCATGGTGCATTGTTCTTGGAACTCTCAGCATTTAGCAGAGTCTCTTGGTTCTTTATTCAAGGAGAAGGAAAAATTGCTGAATGACTATGAATGTTTGAAAGTAAAACTCACTCAGGAATATGAGCAGCAGCATAAACTTAGAAGCTCATATCAACATGAAGCTGAAGCACTATCTCAAACTAGCAATAAGATTAAAGGGTATGTTTCTGAACAATGGAATCAAAGCTTGTTCTCAAATGCCATTGAAATTGAACAGGAGTTTTTTGCCACCAGGTATTATGATTTAAAGAAAGGGGAGAAATTAAAGGAACTGCTAGAACAGCAATCTGTGATGAAATCTCAACTTCTCAGCTGTGAAGCTAGGAAACAGGAAATTTTGGCTGAGCTAAACAAAAGTAAAGACTTGATGCGGAATCAAGATCAATTAAGACGTAACATTGAGGATAACTTGAATTACAGGAAAACAAAAGCTGAAGTAGATGTACTTACTCGTGAAATTGATTTACTGCAAGACAGAATAATGGAGATTGGTGGTATTTTCAAATTTGAAGGTGAACTGCGAAAATTCTCGGAAGACAGGGAGAGACTTCTTTCAGAGGTATGTATGATTCTCACTGGCATCCTTGTGTGTTAACCTTTTCCATTAAGTACATTCTCTGATAGCTTTTCAGCTCAGGATAGCATGCCATCGATTTTGTCTTGTTGAATTGATATGGACCTCCAGTTTTCTACCGTATTCATTCAATAAGTGTGGTAGAGGGGTAGTGGATTTATTGTTTTGTGTTTTCATTTATCATGTCATTTTTGTCATTCTTAACTTCTTATAACTTCAAATTATATTTCAACTTCACTTTTGATAGCTTTCATTTCTCCTTCCTGACCTAATCTCATCATAGTTTTGTAGCATAATATGAAATATTGTGTTTCCAAGTTTGACTACAAAGACTATGACATGCGGTTGTGTGAACTTAAATAACTTGAAGATTCTGCAGTACAGTAGTTGAGAAAGTGATGGTGCTGTCCCAGCCCCTGCTAAATATTTTCCCTCTCCCCCCCCAAACTAAGTTCTTCCGATTATTGATGCCTACAACAAAGATGTGAAGCAAAATTAGCATTAAATTCGAATAAATCTGGAATTACAGTCTTTAATTGATCTTGGACTGGTTTAATATTGTATTTAAGCTGTAATCAACATTATTAGGCCATATTACTTTGTTTCTTTTAGATAGATGGTTATTGTTTTTCCCCCTCAATTTTATGCATCAAGAATATTAGGGTAATTTCTAGATTTACAGGAAATTGCATATGTCACGTCTAATGGATTTTAGGTTTTCCTTATGTTATCAGCTTTATATTATGGTTTACAAGTTGTTTTGAGCTGATTTCGGCAATTCGTATTTTGGATCTCTGTTCTTGCACGAATAGGATTTTGCTATAGCTCTATAAATAGAAATGCAACATCTTTCAGTTAATAGAAACCTATTCTTGGATAATATTGCCACAGTTTATCCTCTTGCAAAACAAATCAACCTTAGGTTTGACTGCTAGGGAAGGTTAGGTGTGGATCTTGGGACTTTACTTAGGATCCAGCTCCTCTCTAATTTGTTTTGTCACCAGGGAGTTTCAGTTTACAGACTGATGAGGTGTCCCCTCATTAAGATTGAGATCTATGGCTCCAAACATGCCATTGCCAGATCCCTTATTCATCTTCTTTGTTCAGCTTTCTGCAATATTAGTTCATACTACTTCAGATTACTCTCAACTCTCACGTCATTTTATTCTGCTGCCATAAAACATCTAATTGCTTACTCTTACAATCCAAAAGTCTTACCTACACATGTTAACCTCCAAGTGTCAATCCAAAATTCTCAAACACTAGTCATTTGGGTTCTGTTAGAGAACCTAGATAGCACCCAAATAACTGGTTAAATCCCTAATTTTGCCTCCTAACCTTTAGTCCATACCATCTATCTTAGAAAGAATGGGAAGCATAAAACTCTGTTTTCCTAGGTCTGTTATAGATTAATGAGAATAATACCTTGTAGCCCTCAAAAGTGCCAGTTATGAACTTCCTATCGTGCTTGCTAGGGTCATACTCAAGTATCATACAAACAAATAAATTAAAAAAAGGATTAAAAAGGGGATAAATCACACTTTAAAAGCTTAGTTATGAGCTTCCTATCATAGTTGCTGGGGTCATAGTCAAGTGTCATATCAACAAATAAATTAAAAATGAATTTAAAAAGGATAATTCACACTTTAAAAGCTTTTGTCACTTCTTTCAGATTTAAAAGCTTTGTATGTATGTGTTGAGCTTCTCCATTCTTTCCCCTATTATCATTAAGCCTTTGTTTAAAGGCATTCATCTTATCTGTCTGAGAGTTTTAAGATGCTTCTCTTTCACCACAGCTTAACAGATGCCGAGGAACAATGTCTGTTTACCAGAGTAATATTTCAAAGAATAAAGCCGAACTTAAACAAGCACAATACAAGGACATTGACAAGCGGTACTTTGATCAGCTAATCCAGCTTAAGGTGGCAATTATTTTAATATAATGCAGGGTTTAACGTTTATTACTTGTTTTATTATGTTATCAACTTAAATGTTTTTGGACAGACAACTGAGATGGCAAACAAGGACCTGGATAGATACTACAATGCACTTGACAAGTATGCGATTTGCATAATTTTCATGTTGTCTTTTTAATTACATGCCCAAATAAAAATTTAGATTGTGAATTCTTCAAGAATGGTTCTTTATTTGATAGCTGGCTAAAGAATTGTGTATTATCTGTCAAGTGTAAATAAAAAGCTGTTCTGATTATTAGAGTCTGAAATTTTTGGTAAAGTCCCTAGGTTTGTACAGACAGAAGGAAACTTTTAATTATTAATTTCCCTAAATTACAAAAGTCTAAAACTTTAAAACAAAAAAAAAAAAAAAGGAAGGGAAGAAAAGAGGAGAGAGTTGTGAAAGCATATGCAAGGAGGTAAGTCAGAACCTAAAAGTAAAAAAATAAAATAAAATAAAATAACAAAAAATATATATATCAAAGAGTCAGACACAATCTATTTTATTTAACACCATTAGTCTATGTTTCATGCATAGGATGATGGATAAAATAGGATGAGAATCATTTTATATCATGTTTGGTTTGTATCTAAAGAAAGGGATAGGATTGCTGGGAAGATTAATCATTCTCTTGGCATAGGATTATTCAATCCTCTCAAAGTAGAGAGTATTATTTTTAATCCATCCTATTGCACTCTTAAAAATTACATCAATATTTTATTTTGTATAAACTTTGAAGAAAGATAATTTTTTGCAACAAATAAAGTTATTTTATCCTAATCTTTACACACATCAAATACAAAATAGGATGATATTATTTAATTTAATCATATTCATAATATCATTTTATGCAATCTTATCATAATTTTGTACCCCAAACACACCCTTATTGTTTTATTTTAGGTTTAAAGTTTCTTAATTGTTTTGGTTGAAACTGCTGTTATTCCAATTATATTTGTATTATTGTCTTTTTAAGTTAAGCTACTCTACTTTTCCCCTTCTTTATATGTAATTTCATGAAGCAGATTTTAGTATAAATGATTGCATGTCTTTTAACTGGATCTTCTCTTCTTGCAATAAAATTAATGGACTGCTGCATCAATTCATGTCTTTATTTATTAAAAAACACAAAAAAATAAACACACACACACACACACGGTAACTCAAACGTGGTATTGTCTATTTTTGAAATGCATTCACTAAGTTATCTGCAGGGGTTATGGTAACTCTTCTTCTTTATCATCATTTTAATGTTTCATACTTTCATGTATTTCATTCTTGTTTTTACCCTCAAACTATTTAAGTCTTTCTTTTGATATAATTAAAATTACTGCAAGTCTCCCTCAGCTCTTCTAGCAATCAAAATCATTTTTTTAAAACCCTTTCAATCAGAAATAGCAAGTTGGTTGTAGCAGTCCATGGCCACATCCTCTTTTATTCTCATTGTAGCCAGTCAACTGAAGTGGTTATATTGGAATTGAAACCTGTCACTTATATTTCATTTTATTTAATGATTTTGCATGGCATTGGTAGTGTCAATTTAGTGACTATATTTTAAATCACCATGAATCTTTCCCTCTTAAGAATCAAGTTCTTTTTCATAAAAAAAATAATTAGGAGTCTGGTGCCTACTTAGTAACAGATATTAGTAACTTAACTGTGTTTTTTGATGCTCATTCTTGTTTGTAGAGCACTCATGCGCTTTCATTCAATGAAAATGGAGGAAATAAACAAAATTATAAGAGAATTGTGGCAGCAAACATACAGGGGACAAGATATAGATTATATTAGCATTCATTCAGATTCTGAAGGTGCTGGAACTCGCTCTTACAGCTACAAGGTAGGACCTTCTATCTTTTGTTGTTTTTTGCTCTCTTTCTTTTTTGAAGTTCCTTTACATCGTTATCTTTTTCCCTTTGCATCCAAAGCAGGTTCTCATGCAAACTGGTGATGCTGAGCTTGAAATGAGAGGACGATGTAGTGCAGGTCAGAAGGTGAGTGATCATTGAACGTGGAGAGAAAATAAGTTGGGGGAAATGGTAATGGGTGAGTTACTTTATCTACCATCATTGACTAAATGAAACAACGTGGAAGTTATTGTTTGTTCCAGGTCCTTGCTTCTCTTATCATACGGTTAGCTTTAGCTGAGACATTTTGCCTCAACTGTGGAATCCTAGCACTAGATGAACCAACCACAAATTTGGATGGCCCAAATGCTGAGAGTCTTGCAGCAGCTCTCCTTAGGTATGTGCACCTTCATCTTTCATTCTATATTTATTTCTGAGGTAATGGCTTTAATATTTACAGATTATTCTTTTCCACTTTGTCCAGAATTATGGAGGACAGAAAGGGCCAGGAGAATTTTCAGCTGATAGTTATTACTCATGATGAACGATTCGCTCAATTGATCGGTCAACGGCAACATGCAGAGAGATATTACCGGGTCACCAAAGATGACCAGTAATACTTATAATTTTTTCTTTGAAGTTTGTTACTCAATTTTCTTTTAGCATCCAATTCATCTGATTCATACCATCTTTTCTGCCTCTCTTTTCTCAGTCAGCATAGTATAATTGAAGCCCAGGAGATATTTGATTGACTTTTTCCAAAGGATTTTTGATACTTCATCCTCAACTGCCTTTCTTGGAGATGAATCAGTATGTGTGACCAAATGCTGCTCTTGAAATACCAGTCAGTGGTTGGTTTGTTGTTATATGTAAAGCTTGTACATGCAGTAACCATATAAAGTAACGTCTATGATAATGTAAGCTTGTACTCTTTTTTGATAAATTGTATTGTGCTGAAGAAGAGTGTTCCATGGTCTGACTTTATTAATGTCTGCAAATTCTCAACCTTTGACATAGAGATAATAAATTCCTTTCTTTTTCATGTTTTTTTTTTCAAGAATAAATACCATGAAGGCCGAAAAAGACCATGGCAATTAAAACCACATACTTCCCAGCAACAAAAAGAATATATAAAATTGGTACGTAAGTTTATGCAAAGCTCTTATTAGAGAGGGACAACAAAAACTTGAAAATCATATCAAATTGAACACTAGCCTAAGACAATTGAAAACCATAGATGGTAGCATTGCTTCCTTTTCTCTTCCCTTTTCTTTCATTTCCACTCATTGAACATCAACCGAGGAAACTTTCCAAAAGACCCTGATGCTGATAATAACAGCAATAAGAATGAATAGCATTTAGATCTAATCCTTGTATTTCATTTCGGACATCTGGAAGCCAGGCATGTCAAATGACGATGCAAACTTATCAACATCAACCTTGAGCTCTTCAATCTCCTTGTTGTTGTCCAAGCCTTTGTTGAAGTCCTTCAAGAGCTTTCCATACTGCTTTTGGACGTTCAAGGTGATGGTCACTGCTCGGTGGAGGAACTCTCCTATCTGTTCGAAGTCCTTCTCAACCAAACCTCTTGAAGTCATGGCAGGGGTACCTGTCAACAGCAACTTGCATCAAGAGTCCGCATCAAATAAAAATCAAGCCATTTTAATAAAATTTTGACCAAACTGCAGGGACCCCCTTCACAAAAACCAATAGAGAAGATGCAGAAGACAACTTCTAATTTAAACGTCCTATACACTGGAGCAGACGAATCAGGTATCAGTAATTCCAAGCCACTGTTCTGGTAAAGCCATTTTTTTCCAGGCAAATTTGGTACCCTTGATTTCACATTTATAAACCTCTAGAAGATATAATGATATAGAGCAACTCAAGATCAAGAAATTAATTAATGCAGCAGCTCTTACCAATTCGTACTCCTCCGGGAGCCAAGGCACTGCTGTCACCAAATACAGCATTCTTGTTAACGGTGATGTTGCACAGGTCACAAAGCTTCTCAACCTTGTTGCCTGTAAGAACAATGATAAAAATATCACAACTGAATCAAAGGCAATTATTCCATAAACCTGCGGCCAAGTAATTCAACTGACATACCAGTCAATCCAAGAGGTCGGAGATCCCAAAGAACAAGGTGATTCTCAGTTCCACCAGTAACAAGCCGGTATCCCTTGCTGATCAGGTAATTTCCAAGGGCAACAGCATTGGCTTTAACTTGTTTGGCATAAGCCTTGAACCCAGGTGACATGGCTTGTTTCAAGGCAACAGCCAGAGCACCAATCTGGTGATTGTGTGGACCACCCTGAAGGGATGGGAAAACTGAAAAGTTTATCCTCTCTTCAAAGTCATACACTGCATCTTCTGGTTGGCCCTTCTTTGGTGGCTTTGGTCCCTTGCGGTAGAAGATCATACCAGCCCTAGGACCCCTCAAGCTCTTGTGGGTGGTGGTTGTGACTATGTCACAGAACTCAAAAGGGTTTGCCGCTTCCTACTCCAACAAAAAAATCAATGAGAATTAATATCTTGACATTTTGGTTCAATAATCCATAAAAGGTAAAAAAAGGACAGCCAATAAATTTATCAGAAACCAAATCAAAACTAATCACTGTAAGACTTCTCAGATCTGATTTCATATTTGATTAAAACACATTTAATTTATAAAGTACATTCCACTATTTCATCTCCAAGACAGTTTAAATATTTCAACTCAAAATACAAGAAAAGAGTATTCAGTTGAAATCATTTTTTCCATTTCACATACTAAAAATGTACTGCATATGCATTAAAGGACATTAAAAGAATCCATATTCTGCTCCAAGAACCTTCTTTAAAATATGATTACGATGCAAATGTCTCACAAGAATTAAAACAAAGTTTCCAAGAAAATAATGTCACATCAAAAACCCAAATCCAGAATCTAAAGATCATGGTAAATCCCACAAACCCCAGATCCAATCCATAAAAAATTTTTAATATCATATAAACAATTGAAATCCCAAGCTAAAAACTTAGATCTAACATCACCAATAAACAACATGCAAGATCAAAGAAAAACAAAATAAGATCCAAGTAAAATAATATACCTGCGCAGCTACAAGGCCACTAATGTGAGCCATATCACACAACAAGAGGGCACCACACTTATCAGCAACGGCTCTGAATCTGGCGTAATCCCAGTCCCTAGGATATGCACTCCCACCGCAAATGATAAGCTTGGGCCTGAAATCCAAGGCCTTCTCTTCCAACTTCTCGTAGTCAATGTAGCCAGTACTCGAATTCACCTTATAAGGCAAACTCTCAAAGTAAATAGAAGTAGCAGAAATCTTCTTCCCTCCAGATGTATAATAACCGTGAGTCAAGTGACCTCCGGAGGGTAAATCCAGTCCCATGATCCTATCATGGGGCTGTAGAACAGCCGTGTAAGCCGCAAAGTTTGCCGGTGAACCCGAGTACGGTTGTACATTGACACCCCACTTGGTGGGATCGAGACGGAAAACCTGCAGAGCACGAGCTCTGCAGAGATTCTCGATCTCGTCGATGAATTCGTTGCCTCCGTAGTAACGGTTCCCAGGCATGCCTTCGGAATATTTGTTGGTGAGGGCACTGCCGAGGGCTTCAATTACGGCGAAGGAAGTGAAGTTTTCGGAAGCGATGAGCTCGATGCCGCGGCATTGCCGACGCTTCTCTTTCTCGATTAGGTCGTGGATTTCGGGGTCGACGGATTCCAAGGAGGAGTTGCCCCATGTGTTCACTGGATCCATGTTTTGTAAGAAAAAGGCTGAGATGACAGAAGACAAGGAAGAAGGAAAATGGTGAGGGCAAGAGCAAAGGGCAAGGACGCAGTGGCGCAAGTTTTTTGGGATTTATAAATGGAGTTTAATGTGGTTGGTGAAAGTACTCTTATGACCTTTTTTCTTTTTTATTTTCACCCTATTTTAATGGGTGGGTTTTAGGTGGCTCATGCTTGGTTAGTAGGATTTTTCATATTTTAATTAATTTTTTTTTCATAATTATACACCAACCAAAAGTTTAAAGGAATGCATCTAAATGTATTTCAATTTTTTTTTCACTTTAATTTTTTAAAAATTTTTTATAAGCAAAATTATTTAATTATCATTTCTCTTTCACATAAATTTTTTAAAATAAATTTTCAAAAAATTATAAATCTTTTCAAAAATATATTTTTGCAAGATTATAAATTTTTTCAAAAATTCATTTTAAAAAAGTTAAATTTTAGAAAAAAAATTGACTTTTTAAAAATTCATTTTCAAAAAATTATATAATTTTTAAAATATTCATTTTATTTTTTTGAAAATAAATTTTTAAAAAATTATAAAATGTAAAAAAATTATAAAAAAATAATTAAATAATTTCACTTATAAAAAATTTTAAAAAAATTAAAATACATTTAACAACACCCTTTTAAAGGGTGAACGAGTACCGTGATCATTTTCTTCCCTAATTTATTATTACAAAAGAGTGGACAAAAACACCGGAAAAAAAAAGTCATTGGCCTTGAAATTATCTAAAATTATCTAAGATTGAAAAAAAAAATCCAAGTGTCCTTTACCTACCGATGACTACGAAAGATGAACAAGCATAATCTACAACTATTTTTTTATGCGTAGATTTGATCTAATTTTATAATTACAATTAAACTTTAACTTACCTAAAAAAATAAATAAAATAGATAATGTTTATGAATACGTATATCTTAATTTCGTAGTATTATTGATGAATTGTGTGAATTAAAATATAAAATTAGGTGTTAAATCATAAAACATAAATCAAAATCAAATCTGTAGAAAAATTATCAATACTGAACTTTATTTGGCCTGATATAATTATTTACTCCCACCAAAAGAATGGGTGGAAGACACTTCAAAACGTCAAAATCCTGATTCGATATAACAGCAACAAATCAAGCAACACCTAGTTATTGTCTAAGTGACTATAATCATGGGTTTTGGTAAGAATGCCTAACACGTCTCTAAAGCCATGCCAAGTCTTCTTATCGATTGAATTTGCCCACATATTTTCTGGTTGACTCTACACAAATCAGTAGACGATGATGATGATGTACCTTAGATTTGTCCTTCAACATGTCGCTGTTTAGGGGTTGGTAAACGTTAGGAAATAGGAATTTTTTTTAAAGAACTTTGAACAGATTTAATAATTTAAAATATAATAATATAATATAATATAAAACTAATATATATTAAATTTTAATAAAAATTATATATAAATTTTAAAAAATTTTATCAAATATATTTTATATTTTTCATATTAATATAAATTATATTACATAATTTTTATATAAAATATTATATATATGTATAAATGTATACATATATATACATATATATATGTATACAGGCACACACAAATCATTAAGGTGTTTCATAATACAAATGCAAAAATTATCATATCTACCCTTAATTTTGGTGGTTAATGTTGGTTTTGAGGGGCAATTATGTCATTTCATAACCACCAACCCCGGCCTGAAACTTGATGGATCCATTTTTTCCTTTTCCTCCACTCAACCGCCTGGCGGCAGACCTTTCCGCGGTTGGTGGCATTGGCGTGGTGCGAGCACCTTTCAGATTTCAACCATTGTTGCCTAATTGCAAAGCTGCCATTTTATTAATAAATCTGATCTAATAAATAATGATAAAACAAATAAAAAATACAACCAAATTTTTAATGTGCCAAGAATAATAATGGGATTTATTTATTATCAATGTTGAGTAAGATGGTAAAGGCTTACCAACCCTCACCAACCCAACTAGGAGTACCAGTCTAAGCAAGGCAGAAAATCCTTTGCATCTCTGCTTGTTTTATATAAACAAATTATAATTTATAAATTAAACATGAAAATGCCTTGAACTTTACATTACTACATGATGTGATAAAGTTGAACATTCTCCATTTTCTTTGGAGAATTTGTACTGATCGCTTGGATTTGCATTTCAAACAAACAAGTAGATTCGTTTGTCAATGTTGTTACCAA